GGTGAGGAAGGCAGCCGCCAGGCCGAGCATGCTGGCTACAGTCGCATTCCCCGTACCGACCGAGCCTGTCAGGCGCAGGACCGACACTGACCACACGTCTGACACTGCCGTCAGTGGCCGACACGGGCCGTCGCCTGCAGCCGCTGAGCGTCACGTGCCCGGAGCCGGGATACTCGGAAAGGTGGGGAACTCCGCAATGGAGGCAGAGTACGGTGCGTGGACTGGCGGGATCTACCCTGTAGCATACGGGTAGATATAGGATATTGTAAAAACCCATAGTACATTCATTTGACCGAGTCCGCAGGGAGAATCTGGTCGCGGGCTACAGAATTCAGATTCATTTGTTATTGAACTGTGAAAAGATAGCCTGGGTGTTATGAGTATTTCGACTGGTTATATGTGAATATGTTTTTACGAGTTATGTTATCGAATTATTTGACTCAATGTATTTAAGATGACTTCTTTAAGCATACGGATATGGAAGTCGAAGTAAAACTGGACGTAGTGCCTTCCTTGACCACATTGGGAGGTTTCAGATGCTCCAGTTCCAGCCGGAGAGACTGGCAGTGGGATACCACTCGGCGGGTGGGGAGAACCAGTAGTGGCACCGGTGAGGACTGGAGTACGGGCGGGTAGGTCCGATGGTGGCACCACCGCGCCTGTCCACCGTAGTCGACTGTTCCCAGTCAGCGGCTGGGCCGGGAGGTGGCGCCACCCACTGGGTCCTGTCCATCAGTAGTGTGTCGCTGAGAGGTCATATTCCCGGCACCGACACCGGGCGAGACACGGCACCCGCCGCCCTCGCTTTCGTATTTCTCCAATTTTTGTATCTCGCTCTGCTTTCACCCCCTTTCTTTTGCAAGTCACCACTCACGTTTAACAAATAGCATATGTATAACTCTCGCCGGCACAGGGGGGGGGGGGGGTTGATGCAACCCCCTAAGGTTTTTCGCGAATAACTCGCGTAAAAAGCGGCTGATCGCGACGAAACTTTCAGTACCCTCGCATTGATCAATTTTACACCTAACCTGAAAATTTCATGACCCTGACCCAAATGACCTTTGACCTGTGACCTCTTTTCCGAGATCATGTTTGGCCGGAATCGCGATTCGGCGTATGTCGGCTCGCATTAGCCGCGCGTTTGCAAGCTTTTCGTGGTTTCAAACGTTCAAACATGTGATTTGATGTTGCTCCCATACATTAGGGTGGGTGTCGAGGTCACCTGAAGGTCAGGTCAGGTCATTGACCTTTGGTGACCTCGGGTGACCTCGGTTCACTTTTTCGAGTTTTACATGTTTCTAGGCTAGTTTTTGGAGCTGAATTCGAATTTAGCAACCATTTGAACATTTACGAAGTAGTTTTGGTGTCTTCGTAACATGTTACGAAGCTGTCAGAGGCGGTTGACACGTATTACGAATACCCGTCCCAACACCTACCGGTTGACCTGACCTGACCTGACCCGACCTGGTCTAAATGCTAAAAGACATCATCTCTGATCAAAACTAACACGATATTCGTGATCAGCACCCCGGAAAACCACATAGCAGCCACACTTTATGACTTTCTAACAGGTCCCGATTTTCCCGGTTTTCGGGTCATTGACCTGACCTGGAAGGTCACCCGATGACCTAGGACCTTAAAATTGGGTATCATCGGCTTCCTCTCGTGACGGGCAACACGCTCGTTTTTTTCCGCGAAGCTCTAGCTCGATCAGGGGCCAAACGCGAGGGGGGTCGTACCAACAGATCGTACCCCTGTGCCGTTGAGGGACGCAAAATGGCCTGTGCCGGCGAGGGATAAAGTATGATTGGCCGAACCAGACGATGCCGAAAACGTCTGCCTGACAGAACACCTCCTCTTTTTATCCACAAAAGAAAGACGAGAAGCTAACCACCACGCGCACGTCTTCACAAGAACAAACAACAGACACAGATCATTACATAACGACTTTCTCAGGAGGGTGTACTGGAACCGCGGAACAAAACACAGCGAATACCATTGATTTTCTGACAGCGCCGCACGGCGGAGAGGCTCGGATGGAACTAGTTCGGGCGAGCTCTCCGTTTGGAGTCAGGTGTGACGCTGGGCCGCTCCGGGCCGTCGCCAGCCGGCCGCTCACTCATTAGACGGTACCTCCTGGTGCTAACGAGTCTGTCGGTGTCGTTAGCGCGTGAAAAACCGCGCGGCGCCACTGCGACTCGCACCGATCGCGGCGCTGTTCTGCGCTACAGACGTCAGACCTCACCGGGCGGCTGCGTGACGGAGAGCCAGTCAGTTGAGCGAGAGCGACTGAGGATGGGCGGGCCGCAGGGGTAAGGTTGCAGACTGCGGGGGCGGGACACTCAATTAGGACCCGGAAATGAAGCCCAGGTGTGCTAATTAGAATCAGTCCGTAGTGGAGGTGGGGTTGGAAATGAAAGTGGAGCCATGGGGCTGCAGATGGACCTGGGGTAGCGTTGGAGCAGTTTCAGCCATAAGCTGGAACTGCGAGCTTTATACGGCTGTAGCTGCGGCTGGGCTGACTGGAGCCGGGAATGGACCCGGCGCCCGGACAGAAGCCGGGGTCACACCGGTACATGTCGTTAGCGCCAGCGAGCGCGAAATGTCAACGACAGCTGAGCCGCGCCCGGTGCCGCCGCCCGATGCAACTGCCGACACGCCGACACCGGGCTGGAGTGTGTGTGGCTATCAGGAACACAGGGTGACACGGGACACCACAAGGCGCCGCCCTCTCCACTTCCAGCATTCCTCCAGCGAGGGTGTGCGGTAAGTTTTCACGTGCTGGTTTACATTTTTTTTTCAATCAATTTCACAAAGAAAAGCGTGACATGCGATTAGCTTTTATAGCTCGGCAGTTGCAGTAATATAATTTTAGTGTTTTCCTTCTTCCGAACTCCCAAATGGACGCCATTATAGACCTCCGAGTGGAGTAAGCGGAAACCGGGCAAAACAGAGCGGCGTCAGCAACAGTTCGGGAGCTGACCAGGTGCAGACCAGCCTCTCTACTCAGCAGTTCAGCCAGAAACCACGGCGCGCCCGGTCCTCGCGTCCTCTCTGGACCGGACGTCCCGCTCTGTCCTCTTCAGGCGCTCATTTGGAGCGCGTCCGGCGCAGCTCGTCCGCCGTTCAGTTCGCCTCAGACGGTGACAGATTTTCCGGCCGTTTTCCGGAGCCCGTTTTGCTGACGCCATTCCGAAGGCGGCGTGTCGCACCGGCGGCAATTTGGCGGCCCAAGTTTGCCGTGTCCGCGGACGGGACGGCGCGGCGCGCTGACGTCACCGGGTTCGACGGGCCAAACCACCGCCGGCCGGTCCGCGCTGCTGAGGTCAGAAAAGCAGCCGAGGCGCAGACGTCGTGTTGGACATAAATTTACTCCCACCTTGCCAATACAGTGAGCGAGTCAACAGAAGACGCGTCGATCGCATAGTTGACTAAAGAAAGATGCTCCATTTCTCACACGCTGGTAATCAGTTGCCTAAGCAAGCTGTAGGCTGTGCCGCATCTGAAGGATTGAGTGACATAGTCTGTCCCTGTGACGCTAAGCTCACTAACGCATAATTGCGTGATGAGCGGCATAACTCAGCGTTCCAGTCCACCGATCGCTTCTGAGGAGTAGAACATCAATCCGTAGTCAACTGTACAATCGGAGACGCTTCTGACCAGGCCGCTCGACGACGAGTGATGACCTGTAGCCGACGGACATCGCGATACGGTCCCTTCAACAGGCGACATCCGAGGGTCCCCGTCGGGAGGACTGCACATAGCGTCAGCAGCACAAGAGCCGCCGCACTGGCTTAAACAGTTCTCTTCAGACCGGGTGCTGCTTCCGACTGACAGACAGACAGACAGTTTGATGGCGCAGAAAGTAGCCCAACTGAGGCGCACAGACGGACTCGGCGCCCGCTGGGGGACAAACAGACCTCACATACAGACGGCCGGGATTCTCAGAACTAACTTTGACACGCAATATGCTCTTTTATTGCAGCGTCGCTGTCAAAACTCCGATGGCCAAGTCGAAGAGTCGGAGCTTCATCATTTTGCCATATAAATGCATTATATGCAGGCGATAACTTTCATCCGCCTCAAACTTTTCACTATGCGGCACAACCGGGCTTATCTCCCGCGCCGGCCGACTGCAGGGCACGGGTTCAGCCCTCCCTCCCCTCCACTCTCCCGGCAGTTTGTGTGACCGGCTCCCAATAAGACGGTCGGGCTGCACAGAGGCGGCGATTTCACACGGCGCCGGAGCTGTACGGCAACGCCGGACGTATGTGCGAGCCCGGCCGGCCCCGGAGCAACGTCTACTGGAACGGAGCAGCCAGTCGGCCACCGACTGCTAGGGGCAGCAGCGAGCTGCCCCGTGCGCCTATCGACAGGCACCAGCGGACCCCAGCGGCTGCCCTTCACACAGCCAAGACCGAGACGGTGGGAAGAGGGAGCAGAGTGGACGCCGCAGCCCGGCCCAATACTGGCCGCGAGTGAGCGGCAGGCGTGGGTGGGAAGGAGGCAATCTTGTCTTTCATTACCAACCGGTGCATTGTGCAACGCACATTTTGCATGAATTTTCACTCTCCAATCCTGCGATTTCCCTTACTCTCGATATTGAAGGGAACTTCAGCCGATCGTAGGGACAGTAAAAGACCTTAGTAATGAAGACACGATCCAATGAATACATTAACTAAATGACCTCGTAGTAAACAAGGCCGCGGCTATTTGTATAAAATCACAGCACACCTGCGGCAGCGATTCTGAATCTCAACTGCAGAAAATGCTCGAGTCTTAGCGGATCCACCATTTTCATCCCACGTAACTGCTGTGCAATCCCGTTTCCCTGCTTCCGTGCCCTCCGTGCTCTGAGTCACCAAAGTGATATTCCTAATCAACCCATGCCACAACTCGTCCACCCGCAGACTCGAATCCCCGTTCCCTCGCCCTGCCCCGCCAGCCGACCCACACACTCGAATCCCCACTCCCTCACGCCGCCCTGTCAGCCAACTCACCTGTCTGTAGACCTGCCACATGAGTCGGTTGGTCCGGAACTGCGCGTGTTTCTTCCTCTTGGCCACACAGTCGCGGATCTCTGGCAGCCGGCGCCACAGGCGCTCCGTGTGCTGCCGCATGTCCCGGTAGTCGAACGCCCGACGTACGCCTGCGGGTAGCGGAGAAAGGTGGGGGTAATACCAGCACGACAGCGAGGTAGGGGAAAAGTAGGGGTAATTCTAGCACATCATGGTAGGGAAAAATCGGGGTAATTCCAGCACGACTGCAGGATGGGGGGAAAGAGAAAAGAACTTGGTGCAACTGTGAAGTAGGGTAACTCCTGCACGCTTAGGTGGTAGGGTAAATGTAGGGTAACTTCGATTCGTCTGTGTGGTGCGGGTAAGAATAGGGTTGGGTCGCACTCAACACACTCAATAGTTTACTGTCCCGTGCGGCAGTTGCAATTCTCTGCCATCGGCGCCTACTGCTACACTTTGTTAGAAGTTAATGATGCTAAAGTTTGCAAGTTCGACCTTTGACTTGGCCTTGCCCTGAAGGCTGAACTGTGGTCTGATGAAAAAGAATTGTGTGCTCGTCCGATTCGACTCACCAATAGGTCTTGTCGTAGGTTCAACCCAATACTAATTTAACCCAGAATTTCTCCTGCTGATAGTTCATAGTTCACCGCGGGAGTCCACACAGGGAGTTTCATCAGCAGATGGAGAGTTCTGACCGTACCCTAACGGCCCGACCTTGGATCGCTGTTTCCGACGGTAAGCCACAATAAACAACCATCCCCGAGCCGAGCCGAGCGGACCGTGGGCTGCGCGGCGGCTGTGGAAGCTGTACCTACTGCTTTCCACTTACGCGGAGCTGTAATGGTATCTCTGGAGCGTCTCTAGGGGCCTGTTCCAGCGCCTCCAGAAGAAATTCTTGACTGGAGGCTCTACCAGAGGTTTTACTGGAGGCGCTGGAACGCAATCTGGAGATTTCTGGAGATTGGCGTCATAGATACCAAAAGAATGACGATTGTTCTCTCTTGAAAGGCAAAATTTGTTTTCAATTTTAGTTAAAAAGATAAATAAAATTATAGCAATGTAATTTTCTTTACATTCAAGTTGTAAAATTATCAGTCAAATGTCCTTTGTTTACATTCGTGATTGTCACATGTGCGCCATAATTGTAGACCAGAGCCTCCAGAGAAATTTGGACCTCTCAACTCTCTGGAGGCTACTGGAGGTTTCTGGAGCTTTGGCGAGAGCTTTCTGGAGCTTTCTGGAGGCGCTGGAACGCTCTCTGGAGGATTCTAGAGCTTTCTGGAGCTTTCTGGAGGTTTCTGGAGGCGCTGGAACAGGCCCCTGGAGGCCGGCCCAGACGGCGCGGCCGACTCCAGGGAGAATTCGTAAAAACGGCCAAAGCAGGCCCCAGTTCCACCTGTGCTGTACAGGATGCAATGCAGCGCCCACTTTTCCCGCTAGTCCGAAACTAGCTGTGTATATGCGGTGATTGTCAATTACCAATGCGCTAATGTCATCGTACGAGAAAATAAGTCTGGTATTACGGGGAGATGGACATAGTGTTTCCATCTAGAGAGCTTCATCCATCAGTTTCCGTCAACACGAGCTATCAATCAATACGGCACGCTCTGGTGCACTCATCAATCGCTATCGCGGCAAAACATTCTGTTGTGTAAATATGCATGGCAAATGTATCGTAACATACTAATGGGAAGTGTGTCGTCGAACTTCTCCTCTGCAGCCGGGTGTCCCTCCGCGGTCGTCCACAATTAGCCAATGGGAAAGGAGGCCCCAACGGCGGCCCCCTTAGACCAAAGTTTAGTCAATGACCACTGGTCACGACATTTGACCGGCGGTCAGTTACCGTGCTGCGCCGTGCCGAGACCGATCCCGTATCAGGCCCCTAACTCAGCCAGCCGACAGCGGCGCCGGACCGCTCGCACAAGTGCACTGCTGACAAACGGCGGCCGTCGGCCGGCCCGTGTACAAATAAATCCCGGCGCCGCAAAAATAACAGCTCGGCCGGCCAATAAAGCGCATCGTCTGCCGGGCGCGAGGTCGGTGTGAACCGAATTTGGGCCGCTCCATGGCGGATTTATCGCCGGTATCATATTGGAAGAGCTCCACAAATTGCGCACACATCCAGCCGGCCTCTGTGCCGTTAATTACGCGTGTCGTCCACTTGTCACGGCCGGAATGGTATTGGGTACGAGCTGTTTTATGAGCGACGGGTGCCAGCCGGCGCCTCTATGACAGGACAGTGAACAGCGCAGGCCGAAATGAGCAGCGGCTCCACAACATTCGCAAAATGAACCAGAGGCCGGACGGTGCAGGCTGTTGGTTTCAAACGACGGAGGCTTTGAACTCTGAGTGAGAGGCCATTTAAAGACGTCCATTTCGCAGACAGCTCGAGACATTCAGTCAACAATGCTCAGCGCGACGACATGTTTGCAAAGCGGAAGCGTGTTGAAGACACCCATCAACACAACTTAAATGCACAGGCATAATCAATCAACTAGAGATCATACACAAATGCACAGATAACAGTAGTATTACAGTAGTAACAGTACAGTGTCTAACAGTAGTAGACAAATGTCATCAAGATTACGCCCGGTTTTCGATTAATGCAAACCCCCTCGAATCGCAAAGCTGAGGAATTTCAATCCCGTTCAGATAATCACAATTCCGTCTATCTCGTTCGTGGAGGCCGCTTCAGTGAAGTCAGTGCCTGTCATTTCTCAATGACTAGTTGAACGAGTGAGTGGTTATAATGGCACACTCTGATTAATCATATAATCTGAGTAATCACGGCAGTGGATTCCTTTCCGACAACTAACGATCAAGCTGCTTAGTGCTCCTGCCTGCTATTCGATAATATTGGCCAAATTCAATGTATCCAACTAACGAGCATGCTGTGTTGGCTCAGAGATCTTACAGAGCAGTGCACTTGAAGCAGTGCTCGGCGGTACAGCCTAAATTCAGGCGCTCACTACCAGTGCCATCTAGTGAGAGCATTAGCCTACTGACGCGCTGCTATCCTACCCGGCGGTCACCCAAATACCAGACGTACGGGCCCTAACTAGCGGCCATAACGGCATGAGGACAGTCGTCAGCCATCTTCCGGTCTGGTACCTTCCCTGTAGCGGCCCTGCAGTCCCTGTTGCTACGGACAGTCGGCCGTGGTTTGGGGCAAGAGCCAGCGGCGTGTGGCAGCTCATTGGCTCTGCAAAGGTCGCCTGCAGCAACTCTCCTCCACAACGATCGCCTCAAGGAGACCGTGGCCTTGCCAATAGTAGCGTGGAAAGGACATTCAGTGCGGAAATGTGAACATATCCGTTAGAACCCAGCACCGGAGCTCAGCGGTTGCGTGGGACGCCCACTAAGGACGGGTGGAATGGAGAAACGAATGAGGAAGCTGATGATGGGCGGGCATGTGGGAAAGGCCCTGCAAGGGTATGGAGTAGCTAAAATCAGGTATCTTGCAGAAAAATATCGATGGATCGAAGTACCGCCACCCACCTCGCCCGAATGTCACCTTTTGAACTGTCTCGGAGTTATGCACGCTTCATATTATTTCTAGCAGGGCGTTCGAATAATCTGACCATGGCTGGCTGCAGTCAGCAGTGTCGGGGCAAACTCTCGGAATTATTGGTCAGACGGGCCCGCCCCACCACGTTCGCCCCATGATTCTAGCCGCTGCTAAAACATGCAGCCGCTCGTCTGGCACGCAGGCCACGGCCACAGAATGAGTCCCGGAACCCTTCACTGTACGGCGCAGAACTTTGCTCTCGGATCGTGGGGGCAGGGCGGAGCCGGCGATGCACGACACCACCGTCAATCTCTGCACCAGACATCGGTCCCTGCGACATACCAGCGGGCACCCTACCATCCCTGGGCTACACCACTGCTCCGAGAACACGCTGCCCCACCATCCCTGAGACATACCACCCCTGGGTCACACCATGGCACCACCCCTGGAACACGCCACACCGCCGTGCCCACGGCCCACGGTCCGCGACCATTGTCAGCGTCCATTGAGCGGCGCAGCGGCGTCAGCGGCCGCGGTCTGAAGAGGGCGCCGAGCCCGCCGGCGGCCGTCGTCCGCGCCCGGCCGGCCACCAGGGAGCGCGCCGCAGCGTCAGCCCTTCCCGAATACCCGCCGACGCACGATGGCACCACAATGCTGCCGCAGCGTCAATGCGGCTTTTACCGCGGAAACGTTACAGGAATATCCTTAGGAAGTCTACCCAACACAAAACGTCCGCTATCGTATGTAGCGATCACCATGGATCCGGGTTCCTGGGGTCGTTATCGGCTCATCAATGTCTGAGCTGCGTGTCGAACGGCGTCCTGTAACGCGCACTGGTCCGGACCCTGAGTAGGGCCGACTACAAGACACAATGTCCAGAGGAGGCTGACCGAGACAGAGCCCATTGAAGCGTGTCACACTGAGTGATGGAGGGTTGTCATGCAGTGCCTGGCGGCTCGATAGAAGGCAGTCAACGACCCAGCCGATGGCATGGACAAAATGAATCAGAGGTCAATTTTACCAACAGAAAAATAGCCGCCTGACGGAATATTTTGCCTTAAGACCGTTTCACATACGTCGTCAGCGCCCTAGCCCCGCTGAAGCGCGATGAGCACGTAAGTGGATATAGCTTTACCGTTTACGCTCCGTATGTGAAACCGCCTTTGGACAAAAAATTCCGGCAGGCGGCTCTGTTGGTAAAACTGGCCTCAGCACGAGAAAGAACAAGGATCTGTCGCCCAATGAAAGAGCATTTACTTATAGTGGTGTCGAAGACCGATATTTATTTGTATTTAATCGGAAGATGTTGTGTTAGAAGACAGCGCTGGCGCATGAACAGCGCAACGCAAACGGCAAACTGGTATGTCCGTTCAAATGGACCGGAGGCGTGGGACACCTAATCAGACAGGCGAGTTCACGATAACCGGCTGAAATTAACCCGCGGTTCATTTGTCCCAAATAAATTAAACAAATGCAGAAAGTTTCCATTATCCAACCAGGAGAATCCATTACGGATCGACTTTCGAACCAGCAATCCATTTACAAGCCACGCCAGCCTGGGCATAGGTCGTGGTTATTTATCGCGCGCTCACACGACTAGCGCCACGGCAGCGTCGATAAATA